CTCATTTGGTCCATAATGGTTATTGTATGTAAATTAAATCATTAAAATTGTATCAATGTGTAAAAAATTAAATAAAAATAAACAAAATTTTAAAAATAAATCAAGTTATATCAAAATGAAAAAAACCCACTTAAAATAAGGTCTTGAAGACATATATTCTAAAATTGGTAAACAAATACATAAGAATCGAAACTATAAAACAAAGAAAACAAGATGTTGACCATAAAATTCATCATGTTTTTAATACTTTAGATATCAATTGTGAAACTCATTTCCTCACACTCTTAAATATTTTCATGAACAAAAGAACAAAGATGAACAATGGATACATACATATTAAAATGAAACATCAAATAAAAATCAACAGTTTTGTTAAAATCAAGTTATAAAATGAAAAAAAAAAAAAAAAAAAAAAAAAAAAAAAAAAAAAAGTCTGGGTCTTGAAAACCAAATATTAGATAAATTCAAAATTTGTAAGCAAATACATAATCAAAAACTGTAAAAGTAAAACAGGTAAACAAAGTTTTAGCCATAAAATTCATAATGTTTTTAATATTTTAGCATAATTATGAATTTGATTTCCCCACGCTCCTCATGTATCTTCACAATCAAAAAATAGAGTCAGACAACAAATTGGTGGAAGAATCGAATCAAGTTAATCAAATAAAAAAAAAAAACAAATACAATTCTAGGTTTTGAAAACCAAATATTCTAAAAACTCAAAATTAGTAAACAAATACACGATAGTAATAACGATAAAACAAAGAAAACAAAATCTTAGCCATAAAATTTACCTTTTTCATGATAATTTAGATCAATTTTCAAACTAATTTTCCCATGCTTTTATATATCATATATGTTCATGATAATTTAGATCAGTTTTGAAACTAATTTTCCCACGCTTTCATATATTTTCACAATCAAAAAACAAAATAATGAACAACAGAGCTAGACTTATTAAAAAAAACAATTTGGTTAAAAATGAACGAAGATAACCAAATTGTAAAAAAATCAATTAAGCTTAGGTCTTGAAAACCAAATATTCGAAAAATCAAAATTTGTAAACAAATACATAATAAGAAAATTTGTAAAACAAAGAAAACAAATAAAATTCATCATGTTATTAATAGTTTAGATCATTTGTGAATTGATTCCCCCATGCTCTCATATATTTTCTCGATTAAAAGAACAAACCGATGAACAATGAGGGTGTTTTACACTTTTACTGATTTAATATACTCTAGTGAATCACAAGTCATGGTCGTTAAGTGTGATTTACAAATATGATGATACTGGAGCAAGTCGTCTGAGCCATTGTGCAGTATGCTCGAACACTAAATAGTAAGACTATGCCCGGTTAGTAATCACATTTATAAGAGTCATAAAGTAAATATTTATATTTATAGAATAAACACGTAATGTCGATGAAACTATCTATTTGCTCCATAAAGAAAAACATGCTTTGTCCGTAGATGGATTGTTGTAGATGACAACTAAAAGCATGAAAATATATTTTACTAACATGAAAATACAAATTGCAGGGTCGGTCCCGAGATTTTAGAGGTCATGTGCAGTTTGGTAAAAATAAGTCCAAAATAAGGTAAAAATGATTAAAACTGATGATATAATCCTATTCCTATTGCACCGGTCATTTGCAGCTGAGTCATATACAAAAGTGTGATAGAATTAAAGTCAATATACAAAATCCCTAGATTAAACATTTAGTTGATCAACGGATTATAGTCTCATCATCATCAAACAAAATAGAAAAAAATTAATTAGGTTAGCAAGTAAGGTACTCAAGGACAACTTCAAGGTAAATAGAAGCATTGATTCCTTCTTATGGATTATCTTACTTTTGATTTGTGTGTTTGTATAATATTATTGTTCTTTTGAACAACAAGACTTTTTATTAACATAAGAATGCCAGTAGGAAGCTGGCTTGATGTATCAATACAAAAATAAAAAAATAAAAACATCAATAGCAACTAAACAAGCACTTACCCTGGGATCTAAAAACCCCAAGTTTTCAATTAGACAATGAAATAAAGCAGAAAGAACCACAACAATTCCCCACATAACAAACCAAAGACTGAAAATGGCAGACCTTCAACACATTACACAACCAAAAATCCTGCAAAAAAATATGAATACACTTTTAGCAAATCAAAAAACTTTAGAATAGTCACACTAAAATGACAATTAAATAATTATCCACCTACGGTAAGTATGGTATAATGAATGAATACGTACCTTTATTGGATTCCTTATTGCTCTAGAATATGAAGTACTTTTTGTCTAAAAAAGATACGCGATAAATAACTAAACAAGAACATCCTCTGATTAACCACAAAGATGAATGAACTGTGTTAATCGACAAATTGTTGTTGGATGTGAATCGATAAATAGTTGACACTAAAAAGTAGACAAGAACATTGTTGCTGGATGCGAATCGACAAATGGTTCGAAGAAAACACATTTACCAAGGATGGCTATCGACAAATCATTGCTATCATTTATCTTTTTTCACGCGTATGATCGAGAAACAAATCGTCACTTCAAATTTTGGCTTGTTTGGGTGTTCTGTTTCCCAATTGATTAGCCTAAAACATTTGGATGCTAAATAAATATAGTTGGTATTACATACGGATAAAATTTTGGGCCCCTAATAGAGAATGGGCCCTGTTCATCAACACATTTTGAACTCCCCTAGGGTCGGCCCTGACAAATTGTAGTAGAGTTGCCAACTAAAAGGGATGGGTGCTCTTTGAATAATATTTCATCATGATTAGTCAATATCTACTCTAATAAATAAAAATCATTTTTGTCATATGTCACATTGTTATTCTTTTTGCCATATGTCATTAGCCCTTATTTTATATTAAATTTTTTTCCACATGTTATTTTATGGTTTTGTTTCTTTCCATTTTATTAAATTCCACATATTATTTAAGAGGTTGTTTGGCTAAGCTTATAAAAAATCAGATGTACTTTTCAGCTTTTAGCTTATAAGTTGATAAGTTAGAAGCCTCTTATTTATTGATTTTGACTTATTACCGATATGATACTGTTATAAGCTATTTTTATCAAAACATTATTTTTAGCTTATACCGGTATGGAACCGGTAATAAAACAAAAAGCTCCATTTTTTAAGTTTTGTCAAACATCCCCTAAATCTAATAATTGTAATAAATGAAACAATAAATTGATATGAATTTCATAAATGCAACTTTCCTCTAATTTTAAAATTCCTAAATAAAAGCCCAAATTTTCCTTTGTTTATTTATTTAAATTAAAAGGAGAAATGTTCGATAATTCAATATTTTTTTCGTTTTCCTTATAAATTCAAACTCCTAAATGTTTAAACCTTCACATTTTTTTTTAAATAAATCCGTATAATCCATGAGTCTGGCAACTAATTAGAAATATAGATTTTGTTAAATTTGACCATTAAAAATTGTATTTCTATGAAATAAGTATTTGTATATGTTTTAAAAGGTTACCTACATGGTTACATCCGAAATGGCGTTTTTTAAATTTGTTTTGCCCAAACATTGTATAGATTTTTCTATTTAAAGTTTTTAAATTTTTTTATTACAATTATTATTATTAGAAGAAGAGTATAAGTAGAATAGATGTTTTTCGATTTAGTATTTGCAACAATTGTTATACTTAATTAGTTTTTTTTTTAATTATTCGACCATTTTTTTTTTAAATTTCGATCATCTTAAATATCACTAATTTTCCAATGTAGCTTACGTCCTTTAGTTTTTTTTATAAATATTTTTAATATTTTTCATATGATTCATCATTAAACTATTAAGTTGTTTAAGATCTATTATTTTGACACCTTGAAAATTTAAATATTAATATTAAATTAAAATAATAAAAAGAATATTATAAGGTATACAAAAATTAAATTAATATGATTAATAAAGTATATAAATATAGGAGAAATTTGCTAATTTACCCAAAAAAATGCTAATGACTTTGTAAAAAATACATAAAAAAACAAAACAAAAAATAACAAACAAAATAACATAAAGTAGCCATCCAAATAGTTGATGGCAAGGGTCTATTTGTAATTTGTCTAGCCATTTGTTATTTGGAGGTGTTTATCTGCAATTTGGCAAGTTTACCTGCTATTTTCTCCTCATCCATCGCTATTTGCTCAAAGCTATAAAAATGTTTTTTAGAAAATTTTCACCAAATTGTGGATGGGTGTGTCCCATTTACGATATGTTTTGCATCCTATATGTGATTTGTCGGTATAATGTTTTTAAATTACTTAGTTGACGGTGAATTTATTAAGGTTACTACGAAATCTAACAGTGTTGACTATGAATCCGTACAAATTACGAGATTTTATATAAAAATTAGCAAAAAATCTTAATTTCATCTATCGTTCTTATTCAGAGAATATGAAAATATGAAAGTTTTTCCTTTGTAACAACAAAAATGAGGGTTTTTTAATATATATATATATATATATATATATATATATATATATATTTATTTATTTATTTATTTATTTATACTTCAACAGATCGCAAATGAGTTAGAACAAAATCACAGATGAACTTTCATATATGAATGTACAAGTCACATACGTACAAAACACGCTTTTGTTCATTAGTGGGTTGTACATTTGAACTTACAAATTCGCAGATGTACTAATTACCCGCGATTTTGATGGTTATTTAACTTATTTTTGCATAATTTGCTAATTTTTAACAATTTCTTACAAATTAATTAGCTTGGGCTAAATTTACAAATTTCTCTAATTATAGATAGACTATTTGCACATGGAGATTTTGTCGTGGAGTGTGGTTGGCAAGAAATCTTTTGTGTGTACAGTCTCTTTGTCTACAGTTCTACACTACACAAACAAACACAGTCAACTCTTTTGCTTTCATTTGTGAATGTGTGAATTCTCATAACTACCCGACTCTGAAACCAAAATCCCCAAAAATTAAACAATCTTTTCTTTTCGTCCTCTAATGGCTGTTGCTGAAATCTTTATAGGCGCATTTATCACAGTGCTGTTTGAGAAGCTGGCCTCAGCTGACTTGATCAGGTTGGCTCGATCTGCAGGAATCTATTCCGAGCTCCACAAATGGAACAACACCTTGTCTCAGATCCAAGCCGTTCTTGTCGATGCAGGCCAGAAGCACTTAAGAGAAAGATCTATTCAAGTATGGCTGCACAAACTCCAGCATTTAGCTTACGACATAGACGACGTCCTCGATGATTTGGCCACCGAAGCTATGCGCCGCCACTTGAATGAAGAAACTTATGCCACCACCACCACCAACTCTAGTAAGGTGCTGAAGATCGTTCCAACTTGTTGTACTAATTTCACTCCTCGTACAATTAAGTATGGCCGGAAAATGAGTTCTAAGCTCGATGAGATTACAACCAAATTGCATCATCTTGTTGAGGAGAAAAACATTCTAGGGTTGGTTAATAACGTTGAAAGGGGAAATAGAGCAAGTAGAAGATTGGAGGAAACTTCACTGGTTGATGAATCCAGAATTGTGGGTAGAGAAAGTGATAAAAGGGTTTTGCTGGATAAGTTGTTGGGGGATGAATCATGTAATGAAAATTTCAGCATCTTGTCCATAGTTGGTCTGGGAGGGATAGGGAAAACCACTCTTGCTCAAGTTTTATACAATGAAAAGAAAGTGAAGGATCACTTTGAACTTATGGCATGGGTTTGTGTTTCTGATGAGTTTGAAGTGTTCAATATCAGTAAGGCTATTTTTCAAGCTGTAGGTGGGGGGAACCAAGATTTTGCCAATCTAGATCTGCTTCAGGTGGCCCTTACAGAAAAACTTTCAAAGAGAAGGTTTCTACTTGTTCTAGACGATGTATGGAATGAAAACTACAAGGAGTGGGAGCTTCTCCAACGCCCTTTCATGGTAGGGGCACCTGGAAGTAAAGTTATTGTCACAACAAGGAAGACCACCGTTGCATCAGTGATGGACTCTGTTCACGCCTACCCTCTCGAGCTTTTGTCAAATGAAGAAGCTCTTTCTTTATTTGCTCAACATGCGTTAGGTAAACAAAACTTTGATTCACATCCAACACTTAAATTGCATGGTGAAGGTATCATGAAGAAATGTGGTGGATTGCCTTTGGCTTTGATAACCCTCGGGAGGGTTTTGAGGACCAAAACAAATGATGAAGAATGGGAGGAGTTGTTGAATAGTGAGATATGGAGCTTACATAATGAAAGTAAGATTCTTCCTGCTCTAAGACTAAGCTACTATGATCTTCCTCCACGTTTGAAGCAGATGTTTGCATACTGCTCCTTATTTCCCAAGGACTACCTGTTTGACAAGGATGAACTAGTCCTACTGTGGATGGCAGAAGGGTTTTTGCACGAGTTAAATGGAAGCAAGTCAATGGAGAGTTTAGGTCGTGAATGTTTTCAAGAGCTAGAGTCAAGGTCGTTTTTTCAACATTCAACTAACGATAGCTCACGATATACAATGCATGATCTGATAAATGACTTGGCCACAAGTGTTGCAGGAGAGTTTTTCTTTATGTTGGATGATAAGATGAATGCTTATGATCAAAACGAAGCTTTAGAGAAGTTCCACCATCTTTCATATATTCAACGATATGGAGTATACAGAAAGTTCAAGGCATTGCAAAGAGCCAGACGCTTGCGAACTTTCTTAGCATTGTCAGTAAGGTTTTTATATTCCTGGCAAAGATCCTCCTTATCTAACAAGGTTCTTGTAGAACTAATTCCCCAACTAAAGTTCCTAAGGGTGCTAAGCCTAGCTAATTATTCAATCAAAGAGATACCAGAATCCATTGGAGGTCTCAAGCATTTGAGGTACCTCAATTTTTCCAAAACCTACATCACATGTTTACCAGAACAAGTCAGTGACCTTTATAACCTACAAAGCTTGTTGGTTACTGGTTGTCATTTGTTATCTAGCTTGCCAGATAGTTGTGTAAAGTTAATAAACCTACGACATCTAGACATTAGTGACACGCCACAGTTGACCAAGATGCCCTTAGGGATTGGTGCATTGACAAGCCTACAAACTTTATCCAAAATCATCATTGGAGAAGCAAACGGGTTCAAAATATCCGAGCTTAAAGGGCTACTGCATCTTCAAGGTCAAATTTCAATTACGGGGCTACACAAAGTGTTGAATGCAATACATGCAAAAGAAGTCAACTTACAGCAAAAGAAGGGGATTCGTGATTTGGAGATGGAGTGGAGTGATGTCTTTGATGATTCCCGGAATGAAAATATTGAATATGAAGTTCTTGAAGGGCTAAGGCCTTATGAGAAGTTGAGAAGCTTGAAGATTTTAAACTACTTGGGAATGAAATTTCCTAATTGGGTTGGGGATCCCTCTTTTGTTTGCTTAACCCAACTCACACTACGTGGGTGTAAGAATTGTACGTATTTACCAACACTTGGACATCTACAATCACTTGAGAAGCTGTGTATTGAAAGCATGAATGGGTTGCAAAGACTGGATTCCGAGTTTCTTCGGCCTAAATATTCTCATGGCATTGGATTTCCATCACTTCAAGTTTTGGAATTTAGAGATATGCAAGGTTGGGAGATTTGGTCAACCATTGGTGGTGACAAAGATGTGTCATTTCCTTGTCTTTCTGAGATTTCTATCATAAATTGTCCAAAACTAATGGAAATGGCAATTGACTTAATACCATCACTTGAGGTTTTACATATAGAAGAATGCTCTGTATCGGTGTTAAGAAGCTTGGTTGGTGTGTCTTCGTCATTTCTAGAATTGTCATTGAAGAATATCAAAGGACTTACTCAACTACATGGAGAAGTTTTAAAGCACCTTGGGTCACTTGAACATCTGTATGTCACGAGGTGTGATGAGCTTAGATACTTGTGGGAATCAGAGTCAGAGGCATGCAAGATTCTTGTGAGTTTATGGGATTTGAGAGTAAAGTTCTGTAAAAACTTGGTGTCATTGGGAAAGAACGAGGTGAATTTGGATTCGGATTCGGGGATTTGCCTTGAATCTATTAGAAAAGTGGAACTTTTCAATTGTCCAAGACTCGAGAGTTACAATTGTCCAAATGGTATCCAAAACTTGGATATATACGGTTGTCGTTCAATTACATCTTTGACTTTCCCAACACTGCATGATCTCCCATCTACTTTAAAGATTCTTAGCATTTGCTATTTTGATAATTTTGAGGCAAATTGTCTTCTCAACAAGTTTTTGTCATCACTCGGGTATCTTTCAATTGCTAGGGTTCCGAATCTCTCTTCATTTCCCGAAGGTTGTTTAGTTCATCTCACTAAACTGATAATCCGTGGTTGTGATAACATAGAATCCATTCCAGAAAAAGGTTTTGGTTTTCTTCCCCTTTTTTGCCTCAGATACCTCGAGATCAATTCCTGCAAGAATCTCAAGTCATTTCCTCATGAGCATTTGCAAAGTCTCACATCATTGGAAGAGCTGTGGATAAGAGATTGTCCAAATATGGACTACTCATTCCCTTGTGTTTTGTGGCCTCCTAATCTAACTACCCTCACAATAGGAGGATTAAAGAAGCCCATGTCGGAGTGGGGTCCACAAAATTTCCCTACCTCACTTGTTAAACTCAGTTTATATGGCAAGAATTCGGGGGTTGTTCCATTTGCAAAGTCAGAAGAAGATGTGAGAAATGGGAATAATACAACTTCTTCATCTTTTGTTGTTCCACCATCTTTAACTTTATTACAAATCCATGGTTTTATGGAGTTGGAATCGGTTTCAGAGGGGTTACATCACCTGACCTGCCTTGAAGAACTTCTTATTCGATCCTGCCCGAAACTTAGAGATCTGCCCGAGATGCTGCTGCCTAAACTTTCACGTTTGTGGGTGGATTCTTCTTCACTGGAATTGAGAAAAAAATGTGGTGATAGAAAAGGCAAGTATTGGCCTGTTGTCTCCCAAATCCCTGACCTTGATGTGGGTTGATTATATTATATTACATCACAGGTATGTTTTCTTGGAAGTGTTAATTTTATTAATTAGAGTAAATTTGAAGAAATGGTCATTACAAGTTTAGTCAAAATTGTCATCTTGTTATATGATTGATCCTTGTGGTTTCATATTGTTGTACTTTTGGTCCTTTTGACTATCACCATTATACCTTTTTGTTGTCACGAGGTAATAAGTTTCTGATTTTCAGATTTATATAATTTAAACCTACCAAATGAGTCTGTATCGAAAACTAGTTTTTTTTGAATCTTGCACAATATCAATTCCCATGGCATGAAGTGAGATGCATGCCTAAAATTCAGATGAGAATGCGAGAAATAAAGATTAGGGACTCTAAACCATTAAAAACCTTGATGGACATTTCAGAATTTTCTTATTTTTGTATTAGTTTGGATTCTATGTGATTTTTGGGCAAATGGTATTTACAGTTTTTTCTATATATATAATTATCTAAGGTATGAAATGATTGTGTTTCTGAATAAGCAATTAAGTTTTGTTGACATTAATTAATTGGGTGCAGTAATACCAAGAGGAGGAAAGAAGTTCAAATGCAGAACAGGATCCATTCTTTTTCAAAGCTGTTTGATAATCACCATTCATTTATTTGGTCGTTATTTGCCGCAGGCAAGTAATTCTTGAGGGTATATATAATATATGAGATTTCCAAATGTTGTTCGTAGATTTATAGATGCAAGATTTCCAAATGTTGTTTATAGATTTATATATACATCATTACGTGAAAACCGTAAATAAAATTCAGGAATGACGTATGTTATTTAAGTTATGATACAATTCCATGTATTTTTACAGTCACCATTTGTGACACATTGTATTATACATTGAATTCGTAAAGCCACCTCAATCTTATCATCAAAATTCAAAACAGCGCTAGAAGTATTTTTCATTCTTTCTTTTCTTCATTGAATAAATTACCGATTGAATAAAAAGTAAAAACAGACTTGTTAGTATGTGGAGTCTGGTCTTCACTTCAGTAGCTTGGATCTGAATCTTGGAGTATGACTGATTAAAGCATATTAAAATTATCAAAATAAAAGTCCTTATAAAACAAGAAAGAATAGTCATAAAATCAAGCTTTGGAAGTTTGTGTTGTTTACTTTTTAAAGTTGGCTCAAACCTTAAGTTGCAAGAAAATAAGATACAGACAACTTTTTAATTTGGAAAAAAAAAAAAAAAAGAAGGTATCTTCAACGATTCAGTACAGATGGCATAGAGACTTGACTGGAGAATGTTCCGGGGACAGTAACTTGCTCTGCCTGTTAACAGAAAAACATAAAACATAATAATTCAACCAACAGCATTGTGTATTTCATATTAAAAAATAAAAAACAGTTTGTTGCATAATCATTAGAGGAATGATTTAAGAGTAAGTGTGAGTCACCTTGTGGTATCTGGAAGGCTGCCCTGTTTGATACTAGGTTTAGATAGATCCTTCCTTGACCAGATACATCAATGAATCCCATTTCCGGGTTATTTCTATATGAATTCCATTCCAACAACCTCAGAAACAGGTAGCCGGCCAATGAATCAGATTCCAAATGTTGTGTTATACAAATCAGGTGAAGTGTTGAAGTGAAACTTTGTATCCTCATGACCTACACCTACTGCTGAATAATAATATCCATTGTTCAATCCCAGTCTCATATCATTATTCCAATGCCCATTATTAGAAGAAATCAATGACCTCCTGGTCTGATAATGAGATGGAAGATGATTGTTGTCAACCATCCTTGAAGGAATTGCAGCATAAGAATTAATTTGCTGAGGGAAATCTAGTCCTACTTCACTCAATCTTCTAGGGTTTTGCTGATGAGAAAAGGAGGATCTTTGCATCAAAACTTGAAGCCTCACGTCATTTTCATTAAAAGAAGGAAAGCTTGATCTCATGTCTAAGCCAAAGCCAAAGCCAAAGCCACGCCCAGGTGGGGAATTGGAATTTACTCTACCACCAACTGCTAAGATTGCAGGATCCATAAACTCCAAATCACCACCAATATTTACAGGGGAATTTCTCAGTAACATATGGTTCCCTGAAAAAGAGATATATATGTTAATTTTGAGTAAATGTAGGTTTTCTGTATTTTGGCCTATGAATATGAATAAACATGAAAAATGACACCTAACACTAACCTGACAGTGATAGGGTAGGGGTAGGGGTAGGGGTATCAAAGGTTTGTTTTTGTTCCATCCTCTCCTGAGATGTGAACCCTGGAGGTGGTGCTCTGCTGATGCTCACTCCTGAAAATCCAGGAGGAGGAGGAGGAGGGGGAGACACAGACACCTGTGTTCTTGAAACTGTTTGTTTGCATCCACAAAAATTACATATTATAAATAAAATCATCCATCACCATCATATGCATAATAATATTTATACAACAAATGTAAACATTTACGTACCTGAAATCTTATTTTCAGACATGGGAAAGTTATTGGTGGCAAAATTTTCAGATTCCTCAAAGCTAAAAGAAGAGAAACCGTTGCTGCCATTATTATAATTACTATGCTTCTTGTCAATATGAATACTATTATTGCTGACAAAATCAGAAGAGTTGGAATTCTTATATTCAAAACCAAAATCTCCATTATTGGATCCTTCATCCTGTCTTGCAAATGAGAATCTTGACTGGTTGCTGTTTCTTGAACTCAAAACTCTATGACTATGAGTATTAGATTCAGGTTGTTTATCTAAAAACTTAGCCAAGTTCTGAGGTGAAGTTAATGACTCATCCCATGGGTCAAAATCCATGGATAAAATACTAGATATAATACTGCTTTCTCCTAAATTGAAGGCGCCAATTTCACTTTTACCCCCTTCTGTACTATCATGGAAATATGAATGCCCGTTGGATAATAATTCTCTGGAACTGGAAGAATTACCAATTACAGTGGATGAGTAGTCATTAACTGTAATTGGTATATTATTATTATTTGCAAGATGGGAAGATGGAGGATCTACACCACCGTTACCCGATACACGTGCATGTAGCGGATAACAACCCATGGGATTAGCTGGGGGAGAAGAAATAGGAGGAAGATTCTGTATAACTTCTGTATCTCTGAGTCTCTCATCATTGAAAGACATCATATGATCTACTTCTGCTACACTAATTGCTACTTTCTTTTGTACATCTGATACTAAAACAGTTGTGTTTTCTGCTTCATTTGAGGCCAAAGGTTCTGATTCACAAGCTTGTAATCTTTGATTGTTATTGATGCTACTCAATGACATATCTGAAGGATTTGAGAATTTATCGGATATGTTTTTATCCACGTCCTCTTTTCTAGATACTGGATTATTCCCCAGACTACCCTTTTCTTCTACTAACTCTTTGAAACTTGGCTGCCTATTTGAAGCACGTGTTCCCCTGTAACACATCCAGATCAGTAGGTGTTTTATTTCATACTAAGGGCGTTTACGTCTTTTGCACAAACACAAGAGATTGAAAGGACAGAGTTTACCATGAAGCTGCTGCAGGAAGAGCTGTTGATTTCCCTGAACTACTATTTGGCAAGGGAACTTTCATACCATTTACAGGATTCTGCTAGAAATTTAAGTAATCACCATAAGAACAAAATTAAACTATTAATAAGAGAAGAGAAAAATCCAGTCTAATAACTGGAGATGCAATCATGTAACACATTGGTTATAATTTATGTAGCAGAAAGAGAAATCCCAGACAACAATATAACACATTAACACAAAAGAAGATTTAGCAAAGGTCAACACATGACAGAATATCTTACATTGGTTGTTGTGGTGGTTTTATTTATAGGTTTTTCCCATGCAGAAGTAGTGTTGTTATTAGAGTAGTCATCAGCTGGAGGTGGTGGTAATAGATTTCCAGAACGCCTTTGCATGTCATTTGTAACACCGGTAATTTGCTGAACTCTATTCCTTTAAAACCATTATGTAAGTTAACTTGTGGACAATAAACCAACACAAAATTCATTCCAACTATGATGGTTGAATAACAAATGTCATGTTTCAAAACAAGCATGGATAACAATTTGTAAATTAACGATATGAAAATACCTTGTATATGCTATTATTATTTCATCTTTAGTGAAGCTATCTTCTTCTGGTCCAAACTCATGCAAGTATAGACAATCAGCATTGGTGCAAGGCTGGATAAACAAAATAAAAGTGCTCAACACCCAAATAAATATTATTATACCATGTTGAGGAGTAAAGCTGATAAACTGAATTTGCCATAAAGACACTAATAATGCATTTTATTAGTCATACCATGTTCCTTAGCCATGCATGGCAGTACTTTGTGGTCCCAAAACATGCCCTGCAACAAAATCCCACTTGTCATCATGTAAAATAAAGAGATAAATGAAGCATTTTGATCATGTTATAGTCTTTAATTTCAACCTCAAAGTTCTACCCTCCAAGATAAATCCATGTGCTGATTGTATGCTCCGAATTGCTTCTTCCTTCTTGGAGTAAGTAATATATCTGAACAATGTGAACATCAGGAATCGAGAACTGATCAATTCTTTTGATTTGTTATCTATATATGTTAGCTCTTGTCTTCTAAAGATAAGTGTCTGAATGTATTTGATGCTTGAATATTGACCATGGTCACCCAAGAATAAAATTTAATCAAGGACACTTGAACTTACACACTACAAGTACTGTTAGCAAATTGTTGAATAGCACCAGCTGCTGTACGAGATATAGACACTTTTAATACCTTTCCATACTGACCAAAATATTCTTTCTGCTGCAGAAGCTGGTTTACAAAACAGAGCTTGGGTTGAAACTTGAAATTCCAGAATGAAAGAAAAATGAAAATGAATTATATGGAGAGAGAGAGAGAGAGAAGAAGGCAATACAATACAATACATACATCTTCATCTGCTAAATTAAGAGGTAGTCCTACAATGTAAACAAGGTTACGTTGAATAACCCTGACACTACCAAGCTGCTTTCTTCCTTCAGATGTTTTAGTTTTCCCCTTTTGTGACTTTTGTTTCTTCTCCACAATCATTCCAGTAACCAATCTGAGAGAAACCAAGAAAACAATTAGAACCATCAAATATATATATATATATATATATATATATATATATATATAAGGTTATATACAAGCTATTATAATTCATATAGAGTCAGACCTTTCACACTTTGATGCAGTTCCCACAATCTTTTCCTTGTTATAAGGGGTACGACATGCTGGACACCTCCCTTCTGTGTTATCCTTTTCAGCCATATCCATTATGTGATGCCAGCACCAAACACAAATCTGTATATATAATGCCTCATCAAGGCTATAATCAGCATAACATGGCTAAAGAGTAAAGACAACACCTTTTTTGCTAAAATGTATTGTGGATTCAAGCATAATGAGAACTTGGGGACTAAATGGTAACTGGTAAGTGCTAGCTTCCAAATTTTAAGTACTATGCATGCTACTTGTAACAATTATAATGACACTAAAAGAATGTAGATTTAGAAAGTAACTTGTCTAACAACTAGCACAAACTAAAAGAAAAATGATCCACACCTCATAACCACATTTGCAAGGTCTCAGCTGCTGATCTGTTAGATCCATCTCTTCAGCACAAAGTGGACAAGTCTTCTCACCTTCCTCACTCATGGTTGCCTAATCAAGGAAACACAATATCATCAATACCAAACACGATTACAGATAAAAGAACTGTTAACTCTCAAGACTTGTTCATGTATTATGCACAACCATAAGTATTTGCATAAATGTATATACACATTTATCTGTGTCTTCAAAAGAAATACGAATTTCTCTACTTAACCATAAACTTAAACTTTGCAGGCTTATTTAACCTAATCATCCCCTTATTTACATAATTGGTACAGAGATTATCTTAGCAAGGGAACTAATATGTTTTACTTTTTATCCTAGCCAATTGGTAGCTTCGTATGCTGCATATTCGTATTAGACTATTAGTATATAATATGTTAGTAATCCTTTTAACCCAAACTACGTCTACACGATAAAGAAAAGCTATAATAAGGAGTATAAAATCTGAAAGAAAATTAACGAACTGTTTCCTCAAATCGAATCTGTAACGTCCTATTCATCGGTGCGTGTCCGACATCGATTTAACAAAATTCCAATCAACCAAGCAAAAAAATACTAGCTAGCATCTAAAAGTCTAGATCAAATCCAAAAATGAAACTTTTATTGGACTTATCTAAATCCACAACTTAATTCTCATCGATCGAGCTCAGATACAGCTGCGATGACACATGTAGAGCATCATGTTAACTCATCGTAACACAGGCATGTACTCTATATTCAATCAGGTAAAAAAAATAAAAACATAAACATAAAAAAAAAAGGCAATTACAGAGACAGCCGTTCATAGCAAAAACAAATAGGGATCTTCAATCAAAAATGGAAAAGAAAAAAAAAGGAACAAGAGATCTAAGGAAAAAAAAAGCAATCAATAGAGAAACTGAGATGAAACTTACAGTGGTTGATTGATCAACGAGAAGCAAAGTAGATGAAGAATCTAAGAGTGCGAGAAACAGAGAACCACAAAGCCTAATTGAGAGTGAGTGAGAACGAAGGTGGTCTTCGTATGCGGATGGGTGGGTTTTTTAAGCTTTTGCTGTGTATACATTTTCTTTGTTTTGCATATAATGGTAATAAAAAATTAATATTATACGCATATGATATCATTACGTCGTTATGCACTCAATTTGGTTTGATATTACATATACTATTAAATATTAATGTTGGATTGTTGGTAGCCTTTAATTTTATATTGAGTAAATTAAATTCTTGGTCCACCAGTTTAGTTGGTTTCTTCAGTTTTGGTCTTTAGAAAACAATCGAGTTGCAAACTTGGTCCTTATTGAAGGTGTTTTTAGAGCTTTTGGTCCCTTTACAAATAAAATTATTTTCGATCTCTTTTATATTTCTTTATTATAAATATACTTTATTTTGTTTGATATTTCAAAATATTGTTATATTTCTTATGGGACAACACACCCTCTCCCTTCATATGACACTCATAACTCAAAAGCCTCACTTGTTGTTAGTGACCCTCATTTCCACTTTATATTTCTAACTCCATAAAAAAGATGGTAAACAAATGATACAATTTATCTTTTATTTTAAGAATAATGGTTTGATCGGTGGAATACGGAGCCACAAGAATCTTCAAAGGGTTCAAAAGTCCATGTGATCGGCCCAATTCTATGGAATTCGTTATAACTCTCGTTGATTAGTAAAGGAAATGTCGGTTTGAATATATATATATATATATATATATATATATATATATATATATATATATATATATATATATATATATATATATATATATATACTAGCCGTTTACCCGCGCCAAGCGACGGGTGTGACAATGGTAGTTGAATGCTGAAAGATGAATTAAACCCTAGAAATGGAAACGTCAGCGATATATAGCCAATATTTGTGAACAGAAATTGCGAGATTTGGGAAAATACAGAGATAAGGAATGAACAGGGTCAAAATTGCCCCTTTTTAACTGTTGACCATATGTACTCTACTCTTTTTGTAATGCATAAATTGATTGTACAAATGCATTGTATGTTTGTACGACTTAAAATTCAGCATTTTACCAAAAATGCTTTATAAGGTAATTAAGATATATATAGACACACACACACTAGCCGTTTGCCCGCGCAAATCGGCGGTGGCGAATATTTTATTTCAAGCAATTAGTTTCATTCGGAGACATGTTATATTTCCAAGAACACTTGCACCATTATCGATCGGTTTTACAAAAATAAAAAGTGCAATGCCAAAACCAAAAAATATTGTGGTGGTGGATTCCATGAAGGAAAAGGAGATGAAGATTTGAATTAGTCTCCAGTCAACTATATTTTATGCAAAAAGTTAGGGAACTCCAATTTGAATGAACTTTTAAATTTCAAACGATTTGTTGAAAAGAAGTGTTTCAGATTTCAAATGCACCAGATACCAGAGAAGAGATATTTTAGGAGTACAAGTTGGGTCAAAATTGATGAAAATATTAATTCAATCCTTAAAAATAAGGAAATACTAATTTAAATGTGTTTTTAATACTTGTATCCCTAGCATTATCGTTTGTAAGATATATATTATTATATTATTATATTAATAGTTGGTTGTACTTTAAGCGTAAAGAGTTGAACGTCTTTAAAAAATATTATTATTATATTGATTCTATTTATAGAAATAGTAAGATTTATTTTATAAGGTAATATATATATATATATATATATATATATATATATATATATATATATATATATAAAGTAAATTACAATAATGGTCTCTATGGTTTGGGGTAATTTATATGTTTAATCTCTAACTTATTTTTTTAACTCGAAAGGTCCTTACAGTTTGTTTTTGTTATGCGTTTGGTCTTTATCTTACCTAAAAAGACTATTTTGTCATTGATTTTTAAATTTATTTAAATAATGTGGGGAATGTAAAGTAATGTAAAGTGAGGTGGAAGTGGGGTTGGGGTGTCGTTATTTAAATAAATTAAAAGTCAAGGGAAAATAATTTTTTTAGGTAAGATATATAGGGACCAAGCGCGCAACAAAAGCAAATAGTAGAGACATTCCGAGTTAAAAAGAATAAGTTAGGAACCAAAAATGTAAATTACCCCAAACCATAGGGACCATTCATGTAATTTACTCTTTTTTATTCCTCGGTGCAAGCTCGACTGATGTTGTGATGTCAGAAAGTCCTAAATTAGTTTGTACCTGTGTAGGTTCCTCTAAGGATTGACTGACACATTCTAACATCATTTATGAGGAGTCAGACGAGGACCTCTAAGCAATTGTTGATAGACTATCAAGGTTTTCGCTCTTACACTGTTCGACAAGTTGCAATAAGAAGGGGCCATTCGTTTATTGGCGCTATATATGCATCTTTCTAATCGGAAAGGCTTTGCTTTTACAATGAACCAATAACATTAAATATCAACCGGATCTTGGTTACAACCCATTGAAGAATTAGTAACCATTCTCATAACTAATATGCATAATCAGGATTGAAGTCCACATGGTGGACCTCACTTTAGATATTTGTTTCCACAAATTAAATGTCCATGACACAATCCATAGTAAACTACAAATTGATTGTTTTTAGCAGAAAAAGTAAAGGATAACTTGATGGCTAAAATATTACAACCAATTAACATTGAAACACTTTTGAATATCAGTAAAGGAAGATACACTCCATCCTCCCAATTTCAAGATATGGATTCCTTAATATCATAAAGGAGGGTTTCAACTCATTTTGATGTGGATTCCACCTACTAAAGCTTCTTTGTCTTCTTTAAATTTATCCTTAGAAGGTAATCTACATAATGAAGCCAATTAATATATAAGTTATTGAACATACCATGGAAGGTCACTTAAATTAGTGCACAAAATCCAAGTTGATGGTATTTTAGTTTTACTTTCATCATACACCTATTCCTTTAGCTCCATGAGAACCACTTTGTCGTCCCAATTTCTAGATAGATGCATTATCATCTAAAGATATAATTCATCTATATCAGATTAAGGATGCATCAACCATTTGTTTTGACTATTAGAAAAACTCAAAATTTATTTTTAAGAAAAATGTGGGGACGTTAAATTTAGCAAATAGTATTATGTGAAAACTCTTTAAACTTTACCCCTTTATCACCAACGTATCGAGTCTTTGGCTATTAGATACGAGACTCCCAGATGAAAAGTGGAAACTTATACCCATTTTGTTCATGACTTTTTATCACCATGATACATCAATCCTAATTGCTAACACGACCATATATTTATATGTAAGTTGAGCTAATATGGTTTTGGTTACTATATTATCTTTTTTATGAACTTTAACTTGTTTGTAATTTAGAATGTTTTAATATAATAGCCACATCATTGTACAAGTTTTGCTTCCCCCTTAAATATAACAATAGTTATATTAGGTGACCATGAGAGACATAGACTTTGGATATTTATGAATAATTATGATAGCATATTCAATATAGTTATTAGGTGACCACTCAAGTCATGGACTTTAGATATTTATGAATAATTATGATAGCATATTCATTAGGTTGAAACAATCAAATATTGGAAGTATTAGAACATTTATATTTCAATAACTACTTGAATGTTCATAAATTATTTGGTAAATAGTAGACGATAACCCACTAATGTGTAGTTAGAGCTACAAACGAACCGAACGAACACGAATAAGGGTTTGTTCATGTTCGTTCATTTAAGTTAACCGAACAAACAAACGAATATGAATGGATAAACGAACGAGTTTTCTTGTTCATATTTGTTCGTTTAACAAATCACCTTGTTCATCTTGGTTCGTTTATGTTCATCAACATGTTAAACGAACAAATATAAACAAAAACACAAATCAACATATAAGAACATAACTAACATATAATATAGTAATGTAATAAAAAAAACAAGTGACCATATATAAACATAAATAAACTCAAACGAACAAACATAAACGAGCAATATAAACGAACGTTCATGAACATAGAATGAACGAACGAGACCATTGTTCATGTTCTTTCGTTTAACTAAACGAACGAGAATTTCCATTCATTTTCATTCATTTATTAAATAAATGAACATATCCTACTGAATGTTCGGTTCGTTTACAACCTTATGTGTAGTTGAAGATTAATTTCTCAAGCATCTGCCACATCAGGTAACAATTACGATTGCAATGTCTTTGTTTGTATGTGGTTAGAGGCATTAGGTAGTGGTATAAGAGTGACACTGAAGTCGAATGAAAAAGAGTATGTAAATAGAAAATCTTAGGGTTATCATGTAACACTTGTAAATTCGGGCTAGACAATAAAGTTATTATAAACCATAATAATGACTTTTAAATAAGAGATTGTTTAGGATAAATAATCTTAATTGAGTTATAGTATATGTCGTAAACAATCCTAACATCGGGTTTAATAGGCTTAATGCGTTATATATATCAACATATGATAAAAATATAAAGTTTCATATTAAGATAAATAGTAAAGGTATAGCAAGGAGTCAAGGGTGTTAAGATTTTGGGTTCATCATATGGTTCGGTTTTGGGATAAGTTTGCGGTCGGTGTGTTTCGAGGATCATTCTTCATGGTTTTGGTAATGCCTAGTTAGGGACTAGGGGTAGATTCAAATGGATATTCATCAATTCTAGGGAAGATTATGTGAGAAGGTATCATGGGTAGCCATTTTCGAGCAGGCTTTCGGTGGAAACTTATGTTGGGAATCACGAGTGGGATCGTGTAAGGTCCGTATCCAGAGCGGAGGGAGCTAAGAAATTTGTATATTAAGGCATTAGTTGAAGGATTCAGAGTCTAGCTTATGTATCTGTGCTCTAGGGTGGCTTCATCGTGTGAATGAAGGGTAAGTGATGGGGTTTCGGGCTCTTAGCAACAGTGTATCGGCTAGACAGTCGAGGGAGTCTGTATTTTTTCACCTCTTATGCGTTTATGAATCTGTTAACATCAAATGTTGAATAAATTGTTCGATGGATAAATGTCATGGTTTAGAAATCGGTTCAATTTGGGAGGTCTATCCAGGAGTCATACCAATTCGATACCCAAGTTCGGATATATAAGGTTGGATCTTTACATGATATTTTGGGTTGTTCTTCTTCAGGTTGGAAACTCTTTTTGGGATTGATTAATTTGGGAAGTTCGTTTATATGCAGAATTCCAAGTGCTTTCGTCAAGTGTTGTTTTGGTTATGAGTGTTAATAAGGAGCGATTTCGAGGACGAAATCAATTGGAAGTGGGGGAGATTTGTAACATCTGAAATCTTGAAGAGAAATTGTGAGAAAAAACCCTAATTCTAGATCAACTCGACGAGTTGGAGAGACCAACTATGGATCGCGAGGGTTTAATGAACCAACTCGACGAATTGGGGAGCCTCAACTCGACGCGTTGGTAGTTGGGAAGGAAACCCTAATTTTTAGGGTCTTGCACCCTATTTAAAGTCATTAAGTCTTTCTTCTGCCCTCCTTATCAGCCTCCATTGTTGTCCAAACCCTAAATCGAGTTGTAACCTTCATTGTCTAGTTTTTGGAGCCTTGGAAGGAAGTTTGTTGCTCATTTTGTGCATTGTGAAGGAATTAAAAGATATTGAAGTTTCTAGCTTGGAAAAGGAAGTCTTAGATCTAGAATACTTCATTTCTTGCAGTCATTTTAAGGTATCAAGTTCATACCTTGACCTATGGATGATTAGATCTCCTTTTTTTTTGTGTTTTGTGTTTTGGCCTCTCTTTAGGGATAATGATGGAGTAGAGTCATTTTAGGAGTTGTTCGTTTAGATCTGAGTTGGTTTTGGTACCCTTGAGCTTAAATGTGCAAACTTTATGAGGTTTTTGATGTCATACATGCATTAAGTCATCTATTAAGTCCATACCAAACTTAAGAGCTTCATTTATATATGCATAAATGTAAAGTTGACAACTTTACGTGGTTTTCTAGCTCAAGGAAGTCAAATCTATGTTTTGAGGTCATGTCCTCATGGATTAACTGCTTAATGTGTTAAGAAGTGGGTTTCTAGAGAACTCGGCGAGTTTATTGGATAAACTCTATGAGTTGGCTCGATTTTCCCCAACATTTTCAGATTCATAGAGGAACTCGGTGAGTTGGTGGGCCAACTTGGTGAGTTGATGTAACGACCCAAAATTTAGGACCAAAAATTTCTTTTAATAAATCATTACTTAAAGTAAAGTCATCATTCCAAAACATAATATGAGTATAAGTTTTCAAAACACATGTTCATTATCAGAGTAAACATTCCCAGGCTATCTAATCTATGGTGTGTGTGTATGCGATCACCCCGAGCTCTTCCCTCCGCTACCGGAAGTACCTGAAACCAAAACTGAAAACCGTAAGCACGAAGCTTAGTGAGTTCCCCACCCTACCACATACCACGCATAACCACATACTGCACATACTGGGCCACACCCACTATCTTGGGCCTCGCCCCTACCTCGGGCCTCGCCCGCTGCAACGGCCCCACCTGGCTTCGAGCCCCGCTCGGATACAGATCTATTTTACTTAGGCCTCGCCTGTCACAGGGCCTTGCCCGTCAACAAATAATAACACATAAACATTTCACAACACATAACTAACACATACAACTGGTTCTGTCTTAAGGCCTCGCCTATCCTGGGCCTCGCCCATGTCCTGCTACTGATGAGTCATGGGACCTCGTCCACGCTCCTAATGGTAGTGAGGTACGGGCCTAGCCCACTCTCACTCTTGTTCTAGTTTGGGCCTCGCCCATATTCTGCTACTAATGAGATATGGAACCCCCATCCACACTCTGCTAGTGGTGAGATACGGGACCTCGCCCACACTCACCTCCCTACCAGGCACATACATGTATCACACAGACAACAAGTATAACTATCATATAAACAATTCCTTGGGTACTCGCTCGCTATTATTGGACCTCGTCCTGAAAATAATACTAGCATACTGTGCCTAGGGCTAACCCCCGGGTCTTCTACTCATAACTACATGGGCCGGCATTGTGGCCTTAGACCCATTCACACAAAGGGAAACTCACCTGCACTGGCTGAACTTGCTGATGATCTCACTAGTTACTGCCCGACAACTCACGGAACTTCTGCTCCCCTTGCTCCCCGAACTACCAATATCAATGCAACACTGAGTCTAACTGACCCCCGAAAGACAACTAAGTCCACCCTGGTCCAAGGTCAAAGTCCTGGTCAAATTCAACCTTCCAGGTCAACCCTACTCG